TGAGATGGCTAGGGGACCTTGAAAACGTCTAGAAATATGAAATCAACTCAGCACTTTTTGTGATTTTTCCAAGTTTGTTCTGCCTTTTCACGCCTCTCAAGCCTTGTGTTTTAGGTCTGCAAATGCTCAATATATACCAATGATTCAATTAGGGTTGGAATTATGCTCTCAATCTTTATCCATTATAGCTTTTGATCTTGATTTGATTCACTTGAAAATCCTTCCAAAAATAGGCTAAAACCAATCTTTTTATGCCCACTTTTGCCTTGCACGAATTCAATATTTTGCTAGCTGGATATAGGACCTAAAACATGCACAATATCTTGAGGTTTCAATGATTTGGATTTTTTCATGATTTGTTTTGATTTAAATTGATTTAATTGAAATAAAAATCAAAATAAATAATAAAAATAAGATAAATACAAGTGTAAAGAGCTAGGGCTCGTAGACCATGCTATCAACTTAAAACAAGTGCAAAAGATTGGGCCCATTTAGCAAAAATTGCAATTTGAGGCATAGTTGACTTTTGATAATTTTGCAAAAAAGGTCAACTTCACCAATGCATAACTTCCTCAATTTTGACTCTTTGAAGGTGTTATTGGACTTTTTAGAAAGCTTGAGATGTCCTCTAAGCAACCCTTTTGGTCTCATCTCAATTTGGTATTCCAAGATCATGTATTAAGCTTTGACAAAAAAGGTGTTTTGTTGACTTTTCAAAATGATCTATAATGTCAAAATTCATAACTTCTTGTGAGTGCATATTTTGAACTTGGGAGATGAAGATGAATTGTAGGAAATTTCATCCTCTTCAAATTGAGTTTTTGATGGGTCATTTATCATAAAGTATGAGAAAGTTATGCTTGGTCAAAGTTGAGTTGACTTTTCCTACAAAACCCTAATTTAGCAACTTTTGGGTTTTGATGAATTGAGAGCAATCCTGATGAATCATGATCAACCCTTGATCAAATGATGAATAATACTTCAAAATAAGGATGTTGACCAAAAATCTTGAAGTTTGACTGTATGTGGGCCACAGTTGACTTTTGCCCTAGCACAGACGATTTTCAGGCCTTTGAGCAGCTGACTCACTACAAGAAAAATGATAGATTGGGACGGTTATTTTGGCTGATTACGACGGTTAAAACCGTCGCAATTTACAATCTACGACGGTAGAAGTACCGTCGCAGAATCGTGCGTCCCCAGCCTATTTCGCGACGGTTGCAAAACTGTCACGCACAACAGATAGCGACGGTTATATACCGTCGTGAATTTGACTTTATTTTTTGTTTTTGTTGTTGTTTGCGACGGTTATTCTACCGCCGTAGGTTAGAAATTGCGGCGGTTTTAACCGTCGTAATCTGATTTATAAATTTCAAATAATATTTTTATTTAAATTATTATTTAGTAAAATAATTTTAAATATAATATTATTTTACTATAATATTTTACTATTATATTTAAATTATTATTTACTTTAATATTTTTTTATTTATAGTATTTTTATTTTATTTTCTATCACTTTTCAACATAATAAAGTTAATTACAATAAAAACATTTAATATCAAATAATCATCAATAATATCAAAAAAATGTGATCAAAGGTAAAAAGAAGTGCAAATTTTACCAATAAACAAGAAAAATTCAAATATCATCAAAGGCCAAATTTCATTTTAATATTTACATTGGTTTGCTACAACTTGAGAGAATTACAAAAAATGTTACAATATTCTACAAAATTCATGAAAGTCCTTAGTGTTAAGTGATTTTGTGTTAAACTTCCATGCTAGGACCATGATCCTTCCTTGACTACCATTTGGTCCAAGCTACGCATACCTAGCAGCCTGCAAGATTCACACAAAACATAAGCAATATCTTAGGGCAAGTTTAAACAAACTTCTAACTTCTAGAAACTTTTCAACTGAGTTATGTAACCTCTCCATCACTCTCTTTTTCATAGCTGATAAAGAGATTCCTCAAGGCTTGTGAAATAGAATACCAAGGGAAGAAAGGGGGCCTGCAACGTGTACTTGAACAACACTTTCCACACATGATTAATAAATATAACTTGGCAATAATTCCACATTCAGAAAACGAAGGACATAGACACTACATGGTCCATGCATATTCTAGCATTTATTAACCATCTCACAATTTGTTAACAACATCAATAAATTCTAAAATCAGATGATACAACAACACTATGTGGTGCTACTCTTTCTTGCTGCGAGACGTTTTCGGTCAATAACTCCCAAAGGTTGATAGTTTTCGTTCACTGGTACACCATGCAGTGGACCCTTTACTGTGACTGAACTGTAAACCACTTTATGAGTGGTGGCATCCTCCATTTCTCGATATATCTGAATTTTAAAAATCATGAATCTGAGAGGGAAGAGCATGCAGGAAGTTTTCCTTTAAATTTTTAAGAAACTAAAAAACTTACATGTACAGTGGATGTATGACCAGTAACATTGTTTACAATGACCCTCCAAGCACCATTTGCCTGTCCACATGCTGTAATCCAGAGCTTCACTTCCCATACAAAAACTCCTAATCTATGCATTCTTACACCAACAGAGGAATGGATTTCCTGTGCCAGTTCTTCCAAGATTGTCTCTACTGTTGTTTCTTCTTGACCGGCATCTATGTTGATTTTTCTGGTATTAACATCCAAACTGCATGGCTTGACCTTCAGCCATTCTGAAATGAATAATCCCAGAAGCAGGGGAGAGAAGAGGCATACACATCTTCATGACCTCAACTTCAGCATATGGTGTGTCTGCATCAATGTGACTGTCGTCTGCAACCAAATATCTCAGAAGCTTGCATGGAGTCTCTCCAATTAACTTTGATGGATCGTGATCATTCTGCATATGAAAGGGGTTTAGTCACCTCAGCCACCTTAAAAAGAAATCAAATTTTTAAAGGGTAGAAATAAATTAGTTTCACCTGAAGCAAGCAAGTCCTTCCATCAATTAGAAGGCGAGTTCCAGCTGCTTCTTCCTCTGCATATATTACATGACTGTTTCCATCCAACTGTAACAAATGGAAACTAACAGTTAAGAAATCAAAGAAACTCATGCTATAAAATTGACTATATTGAGTAATAATCCAATGAAGAGAGCTACAAAAGTTCAAATGCATAGATAGTTCAGAGAGTAATACTTGCCTGCATCAACAAACCTCCATCACGTAAAGTATGAATCTCCACTTCTATCTCTGATTGATTCAATTTCAGTTTATAACTCCCAGGTCCTCCTCGTATCATGTCAATCTACATAATTGTTTTGGAAGATGAGTCATGCAAATTGAGCATTGCATATGATAGCGTAAGTCCCCAAAAAAGGTAAGGGAATTACTAAGAAAGATTACATACAGTATATTTGCTTCCTTCAATGCTTAAGGACACTTGAGAACGGACAAGAGATATGTGCTGGCATAATTATAAAAAAAACATTAGTATCACTAAAAAATAAGCACGGAGTTAGATACACGTTTTCCCATTTGGATATAATACCTTAGGAGGGATTTGCCCCTTCTCAAGATAGCCAACATAGTCTGAAACCAAAGCAGCACTACTAGCAGTAGCTTTCTGTATTAATTAGAAGAAGCCACAGATCATGAATTTGAACGTGAGAAAATACCAAAAACTCGAGGAGAAAATGATAAAATTAAGAATAAGAAAGTTTGCTTACATAGAGTGCCCCTCCAACAACAGACAGATACCAAGGAGGTCTCTCTGCTCTAACCCGCATTGCAATTCTACTATCCAGCCATCCAGTGTGAATTTTGTTATCTCTGTAGTCTGATGCCTGAGATAAAATATTATAATAGTGTTACTTCTGCATAATAAACATGTTTCATAAAACTAGCTTGTCATCATGATAAAAAGATACTCAACTGTAGCTGCCCCAACATAATTTACAGATATAGCTAATCTTCTAGCCGCTTGTTCAAGTTCTTTCACCGTTTCTGGGGGTGCTACAGTAATCGGACCCTCCTCAATAATCTGTTCCAGATGATTGATTATGTCATTACCGAGATTCATTCCACCGTGACAATTTGGTGTAGTAACTAGTAACAGAAAATTTTCATACCTTTTGACAATTTGGTGTAGTAACTAGTAACAATTCCTTTTGCTTTTAATGCATCTGGTAGCTCAGGATTCTATGATGCATGACCCCAACCAGGCCATACCGCATCAACATGAGTTATCTCGGCAATCTGGAAAACACATTGCATTGCCGTCAGCAAAATTAACAAGTTATGCAGATCAAAATAATCACAATTACATAAGCACTGAAATCATTTAAATGACAAGAATAAATAAACTGCAGTAATCTCATGAAGTCGACATCACATACCTCTAGAATAAGCTGCACATTAGCGTAGTTATTGTTATTGGTCCCACCAGGTACTTCCACAAACTGATCAGCTATTCTGATATGTTCTGCATTGATTCTCATGTCTTCTGAAGTAGCCATGGCAACCAACAAGATAGCCTGTCAATAAGTAGGTACCAAACTATTGAGGAACATGTTAAAATAGTTAAATAGACAAAATAAAAGAGATAGGCATTGCTGCATTATTAAGGTTACGGCCATGTGGCCTTGGTCACAACTTCCTGCTCCAGAAAAAGCACATCATATCAGAGTAAGGCCGCATATATCTTACACACTCAAAACAACAGAGCCTGCTCATTTTATACATCAAATCTACACTTAAAATGCTAGTTCAAATATTGGCAGCAGTAGATGCAGTAGAGTTACCTCTGTTATGTGAACCATGCCGTGTAAGCCAAATCCAAACTTCAGTTTCAGCTCAAAAGTTTTTATGTCAGTAATCTGGTGTTGAAGATCAACTTTCCCCTACACAGGTCTTCTTGCTTGAGTTTCAAGGACAAAATCATCATTCTCTCACACCCTTACCCGCCCTTTTCTTTACTTCCTACCTATGTGCATTTGACTAACATATATTTGACCCTAATGAAGTGCCTGAAGTGTCTACTTCAGATCCTCATACTCATTTTGTTTTAGACCAGCATGAGTGAGAGGTTTGTGAAGACTACCAACAAGTGCGGAAAAAACTCTATCATCAGGTATTAGGCCCATTTTTATCATCTCATCATACAACTTAAATGCTTCATCTGCTCTCCCCTCCTTGGATAAACCTGAAATAAGTGATGTATACGTTGCGACATTTCCAGTTATCCCCTTTGACCTCATCTCATCGAAAATTTTAAGCGCCTCGTCTACCCTGCCAACAATACATTCCCCGTGTATTAGCGATGTGTATGTATACACATCTGGCAATAACCCCTTGTTTATCATTTCAGATTTTGTCAAATGTGCTAGCTTCACTTTTTCTTTCTTGCAATACACATCAATGAGAGTGTTATATGTAACAATATTAGGCACTTCTCCCTTTTTCTCCATATCCCTAAAGAACCTCTCAGCTTCAGCAAGGTTTCCTTCCTTGCAATATATCTCGATAAACATAGTGAAAGTCACAACATTTGGTTCCACTCCTTTCTCTACCATTGAATTTAAAGTACACTTGGATTCGTCATACCTATGCAATTTACATAGCCCATTTGCAAGAATGTTGAATGTAAACACATCTGCATTGAATCCTTTCCTTTCCATGATCGTTTGCAGCCTCAAAGCTTCATCCATCATTCCTCTTTTGCAGTAGCCATCTATCATCGTGTTAAATATTATCATATTTAGGTCAATTCCCTTACTTTGCATCTCTTCCAACAAGATTTCCGCAGCTTCCATTTGACCAGCCTTACACACACCACCAATCAACGCGCCGTAAGTATGTGCATTAGGAGCAACATTTCTCTGAGCCATCTCATCAAACAACGCAAATGCCCTTTTCATATTTCCCAACCTACAATTCCAACTTATCATGGACGAATAAACATAAACATCAATTTCTATTTTTCTTTCACGCATTTCCTCGAATATCTTCTCCACTTCCCCAATATCACCAGAACTAGAATACCACTGAATCAAAATACTATAAGTCGCCACACTAAAAACAACCGGCTCCTTCTCCATCAACCTCAGTATCTCACCAACTCCACTTCGATCCTTTCTTCCAACATACGCATTCAACAACGTATTGTAAGTAAACACAGTCGGTTTCACAATGCTTTTAGTGACCATCTCATCCATCAACTCCTTAGCTTTCTCAACCTCTCCTCTCTTACACAAGCCATCAATCACAAGTGTCAAAGACTGAACCCTAATTTCAATTCCATTAGACTCAACCATCCGGCGGAAGAATCTAAGACACAACTCAATCTCACCACATCTCTTCAAAGCAAGCAAAAGCACAAAACAAGACCTCTCCTCTATCACGAACCCCTTTTCCTCCACATAATCAAAAACCCTAACCGCCTCTGGAAACAACCTATTATCAGAACAAACCCTAAACAACATATCACAAAGCTTGTCAACAAAATGAAACTCAAATTCATCAAGCAAATCAACGATCCCCGAAACTGGGGAGCGAAATTGGGAATCAGTAACAACGGAATTCAGAATAGTCTTGATGGTGGGGAATTTGCGAGCTTTAAAGAGTCTAGAAAAGAGAATCAAATGGGCCTTGAGGTCAGGTTTGAGTGAATGGTTGGAATGATGGGTTTTGAGGAAGTGGAAAAAGGATAAACAGGAATGCGGTTGGAGAATAGGGTCTGAAAGAACACGGTAAGTAACATGGGGGGTGAAGGTGATGCAGGAAATGATGGAGTGAAGTTCGGTGTTATTGGGTTTGAAATAGTTGGGTTTAAATTGCAGTAAAGCGTAATAGACGAAGCGGGGTAAAGGATTTAGGGGGACGACGGGTGTGGTTACCGTCGTGCCCTTTCATAACTTTTGCATGTTTTTTAAAGGTTTAGGGGGGCGACGGTTGTTTTACCGTCGTGATGTCTATTTTAGGACGGTTTCTTAACCGTCGCAACATTCATTTTAGGGCGGTAGGTGTATACCGTCGTGACATGGGTCCCTATATTAGAATTACGACGGTTATTAAGTAACTGTCGCAATTTTTGTGTCGTAAAATCCTAATTTTCTTGTAGTGACTGAGCAAACTTTCTCTGTAGGGCTTGAAACTTGATATGGATGTTCTTGAGAACATATTAGGACAATGGTGAGCATTTGGGATCCCTTGGACTCAAATATCTTGAGGCAACATGAAACCCTAATTTAAGCTTGACTGCCTTAGGAGAGAGTTTGTCTGGTCAACCCTTGGCCTTCCTTGAGAAAGTTGAGGACCTCACTTGAAATGTATTGAGAAATATGGGAGGGTAAATTTTGGGGTACAACACTATCCTTCCAAAATACATATAGTACCAGAAAAATTCTCCATGAAGCTCAACCAATAAACAGACCAGGGTGCCTACTCTGATGCCAATTGAAATTTTGGCTCTTTAAAATATGTTAATATTGATGCCCCGACATCAGAACAAAATGTCAAGGCAGATGTTACAACATCTGTTGACAGACAGAACTTAATATATCAAAGTTGTAACTTATGCATAAATAAATTACAGAATGATAAACAACACAAGTGATTGTTAACTTGGTTCAGTGCAACATCGCCTACTCTGGGGGCTACCAAGCCAGGAAGGAAATTCACTATGACATCATTAGTTTAAAGCCTAAACAATCCTAGTTTACAACTTCTCTCCTAATCACTACCTTGTGCAACTTCTACTTATAAACCTTCTAGATATGAGATCCCCCTCTCACTTTCCATAATCACCTCAGTTATAAACCAGTCACAAACTATGACAACAACCAAAACAGAAGACTATACTTCCAATAAACAATACTCAGTTTTGCTTAAAATATTTTTACTGAGAACAATGAACAATACACAACTCTTTGCTTAAAAGCTTCAAGAGTAAGAACAATAACTTAATAAACAATCAAGTAACAATCAGTCTACCTCACTATATCAAAATATAGATGGGTGACTTACAAAAACACAAGAGATTCTCAAAACCTAAGACTTTAAACCTCCCCTAATTTTACAATTGTGAAAGACTTGAATTACATTAGGTTTATGCTTCTCTTTAAACACTCCTCAGTAGTCCATGGGCTTTGAGATCTTCACCAAAATATTTCTTGATCCACAATTTGAGGGTTACACCAATTATGCAATAAAATATCCTTAAATCTATGAACAAAACATCAATTTTCCTAAATTGTCTCAACATCCAATTTTAGAAACTTATGTACAGTTGAAAATTAAATCACATATTCCAGATTAAATCTTCTTCACCTGCGTAAATTATTGAGATATATCCAAAAGGAATATCATAAAATCAAATCAAGTCTGTAAAGAATCAAAACAGCCTGTACTGATGTTCTGGTACAACATGTCACAACATATGTCTTCAATAGTAACAACACACTCTACTAAACCAGTTTGGTCAAGATGTTATGACATCTTGCTCAACATTTGTCATGAACCATGTTTTAGCAAAATTGTTGCCAATCTTAAAACCATGGATCTGACATTTTCAACTAGCTTTGACTTTTCTGGGTCAAGCTTATCATCAAATCTAACCTAAATTGATTCTTCAACAATTTCTATTTGTGTTATATAATCTATAGCCTTTTGAGCATTCAGAGTATCCCAAAATTAAACACTTATGTGCTTTTGAATCAAACTGTTAAGATTTTCCTTAGTGTTCCGAATAAAACAATCACATCCAAAAGGATGAAAATATTAGATGTTGGTTTTTATGTTCTTACACAGTTCATACAAAGTCTTTTTTAGAATTGGTCTAATAGAAGTCACGTTCTGAATAAAACATGTTGTGTTAACTGCCTCGACCCAGATGTGCTTTTCCATTTTAGTCTCATTGATCATAGTTCTGGCCATTCTTGCAAAGTCCTATTCTTCCTCTCTATAACCCCATTTTGCTGTTGATTTCTAGGGCAGCAGAAATTAAGGGAAATACCATTTTTAGAAAAAAGATTTTCAAAAAGCTTATTTTCAAACTCACCACCATGATCACTTACGACTTTAACAATTTTAAAATCCATCTCATTTTGCACTTGTGGGAAGAAGGTAGAGAACACAAAATGTGACTCATCTTTATGTCTGAGAAACTTAACCCATGTTTATCTATTGTAGTCATCAACGATGACTAAACCATATTTCTTACCATTTGCAGAAGTAATTTTTACTAGTCCAAAGAGGTCAATATGTAAGAGTTTCAGAGGCTTAGAGGTAGACACAACATTCTTTGGTTCGAAAGAAGTTTTAGAAAACTTTTCTTTCTGACATGCTTCACAAAGATCATCTGAAGAGAACTTCAGTTCAGGGAGGCCTCTGACTAAATCAAGCTTATTTAGCTGAAAAATATTTCTCATGCTAACATGGCTCAATTGTCTATGCCATACCAATTAATCTTCATTAACAGACATGAGACACTTAACATTTTGTTTTTTAAGATAAGAAAGTATAATCTAATAGATGTTGTTCTTCCTCTTGCCATTGAAAATAATGGAGCCACCCTTCTGACTAACAGCTTTACAAGACTTTTGATTAAAGGTAATATCATAACCATTGTCACTTAATTGACTTATGGACGGTAGATTATGCATTAATCCATCAACAAGTAAAACATTAGTAATAGAATGGAGATTAATATTACCTATTATTCCAGAGCCTATCATCTTCCCTTTCTAATCACCTCCGAGACCCAAGAATCCACCAGGCGTAAGTTCCAGGATTTGGAACAAATACATTCTTCTTGTCATGTGTTGCGAGCACCCAAAGTCTAGGTACAATGACTGGTGTTTCAACTTAGTTATAAAGGATATCTTCAACATAGACTATCTTATTCTTAGGTACTCATATTCGTTTGGTCCTTTCTTGTTAGTATTCACAGAGTTCTTAACAAATTTGGGTTTCTAAGCAGGATAAATATATTTATATGAATAGTGAAAACAATGAGGTGTAGCTTTTGGTTTTGCCTTAGGTTTTGAAATAATTTTTTCTTTAGGCACAAAACCAACAGGTACAGAGTGATACTTAAGAGTATTTGGTTTATCATCTTTTTCAGAAGTAGATTCTTCATCAGAATCATAACCAATTCCTCTTATCTCGTTTCTGCTGACACCATAGATCATTGAAGCCATTATGCTTCTATCTAGGCTTCTAGCAAGGAATTTATGGAAATATTTGTCATACTTCTTTATGACATCATCAGAACTCATAAAAGATGTGGAAATAATTTCTTCCTCAAGTTTAGAACTCTTGCTTTTGAGGGCAGAGTTGTCATTCTTAAGAATAAAATTTTCTCTCATCAAGCTTTATGTATGCTTTGGATTTAGATACATAGACTTGTTTCGGATCCTTGTATTTGTTCCGAAGCTCCTGATATTTTTTCCAGAATCTCACACAAACAAAATTCCAATTCAGAATGAGGGAGTTCGGAAAATACCTCTTCAAAATCTGATGTTGATTCAGATTCTAGCTCTGACTGAATCTTCTCATCAGAAACTTTTATGCTTGCCATCAATGCCATGATCCTTGCTCTTTCTCATAATCATCTTTTGAAGAATTGGAATCTTTCCAAGTAACTATCAGCTTTTCTTTTTCCTTTTGAAGACTTTATGCTTTGGCTTGTCATTTCTGAGCTTGAGACATTCATTCTTGTAGTGACATGTCTCCTTCTATTCAAAGCACGTCTTTGCTTGCACCTTATTTCCTGTCTAGAAGTTGATTTGAAGCGACCATTTGTCCTTCTGAATCCTTTTCCTTTGCCTTATCTTTTCTTTCATAGTTGATTAACCCTTTTGGGGAGAAGAGACAACTCATCCTCTTCTTTAGAATTTTCTTTAAATTCTTCTTCGTCTTCAGCTTGAAGGGCTCTAGTCTTTTCAGAGAAATGTCAGAAAAGTCAGAGAAATATCACCTAAAAAATAGATTTTTTTTCACTGTTTCATTATTTTTTAAATCGGCGTCGGACATTCGTATGTCACTTATACAACACTCGTATTACAATTCAGACAAGTTTTTCAAAAAAAATAGTTTTCAATATACCTTACACATCTTTTGAACATATATTGAAACAATATTACCAATGAAAAATTAAAGACATTAATTTTCATTAAAATATTTATAACTCTTTTAATAATATATAGATAAATGATGCTTAAATATTATGGTATTGGTAGCGGTGTTGGTGTCTTATATTTTTTATGTTATGAAGGTTAGAGTGTCTGTATCATATTGTGTCGCAATGTTCATGCTTCATAGTTAGTTACTCATTTTCAAACTTCATAATAAAAACAAAATAGTCTAAAAATAAATAAATTATTCACTTTTTATTTCGAAGTTATTTTTAAATAATTTATTTTTAATAATTTATTTATAAATTATATTTTCCCGAGTATGGTTTTTATAATCAATATTATTT